GGTCCGATTCACCGGTTTTCCGGCTGAACCGGCCAGTACGATACGGTTTTTATAACATTGGTTCATGCAATAAGGAAGAAGATAAAAATGCAGACCAAACAAGAATCAAATTACAAAGGGAATCCATCAAACCAACACAAATACTCACACGGGAGCTAACAAGTGAATCTCACCAATCAATAAGGAATGCAGGTTTTCATAGTATGATCCAGTAATATGATCAATTAATGACCAATTAATGTATAGTTCGTTCTGATCTAGTAATATAATCCATTCGAAAACTAAAACTTTTTTTCTTTCCGTAACTTATTTAGAATTTTTTTTCATCTCATTGTTGACATTCTCCACCTTAAGAACATCACCTTCATAGTTAATAATAGTATGATCTTCAAATACATTTATCATCTTAATTCTTATCTTAAAAAAAAGTGAAATTTTTAGTATGAAAATTAATAAAGTCATGTGAATAGTGAATAATGAAAGTTTTGGACGACAATATAGGGATAAAAAATGCACTAGAAAAGTAACACATAAGACAACTAACCGCAGAGAAGTTGAGAAGAGGAGAAAAGAACTAGATAAAAAAAAAGTAACGCAGAAGGCACCAAGTGTTATTGTGGGTCGAGTTGGGACATGTTAAGGCTTGTTTTTACCTGACCCTAAATGTTGGTTGGATTATTTTTTTGAACATGGACTTGGCTCTAGACCCAAAGTTAACATGACCCTAAATATTCACAAGGTCAGCTTTAAACTCGGATCCGACCCTAGATCCGATTAAATATATTGTATACTTATTTTAGATAAAGTCTTCTAAATATTATTTATTACTGGAATATGTAATTTGACATATAAAATAATATACGTATATATATATATATTATTAAACATTTATATATGATGAAAAATTAGAGAATTAATAATATTTTCGACAAAAAAATATCATTACTATGTAAACATTTGAATAGAGTCTAATTTGTGAACTCGAACTCGGCTCTAGACCCGATGAGACCCGACACTATTCAGACCTGATCATGATCGGGCCATACCGGGTGAGCGGGTAGGGCCGAGTCCTGCTCACCCCTTGAAGGCACGGTGGATGGGATGAGATCATATGTCCTAATTCATGTCTCACTTTGTGTATCAAACCAATTGAAAAACTTCATTCAATTAAGAATAAAAATAATAAAATCATAAATTAATATTTTAATATTATTTTTTAAAATGTGATTGGTCAGAGATAAGAAAATTTTGAGACATATAATTGGCGATGGATGCACAACAGATAAAGTGAAACAAGTTGATTGGACGAATGTGTAAAACAAGTTTACACTCTGTATACATTTTAAACTCTTAAAGTTAAAAGCGAAAAAATTCATGTATTCAAAATGAATAAGTTTTATACATTAATATTCCCTAAATATTACACTCTAAAAGTTAAAGTTTTAAACTAATTAAGATTAACATATAGTGTAGAATAGTAGAAGAAATTATCTGATGTTAGAAATCATAAATATGATAAAGTTATATGATAATCAATTTACAGGGAGGTGATAAAAAAAGAATGGAGATCCTCCGTCTTAAAAATGGTGTCCCGATCTACTAAAAGATTGACATATATTTAATATAAAAATTAAAAAATATTTTTTTATATTATTTAGTGCAATGTAATTATCTTGGGACATGAGGATATGAACTTTTTGAGACAAGAGATATTTGTCTATAAAAAAGACCATTTTCCACGAGACTTTTTACACCAAAAACTTCCAAAATATTCTCAAGCGTCGACACTAGAAGTTAAAAACACTCACAGAAGATACTCTTTTATTTTTAAAGAATAAACGTCACCATTATCAAATTGAAAAAACGTGGCAAGGAGTTACCTATCATCACTTTAGCAAATACTAGGGGAAATATATAAAATAATTATGTAAGAGTTTTATACACTATCAATCCATTATTTATTTTTAATCATGATTAATTAATATGAATAAGAGTAGTTGTTATATTGTTCATTATTTGATATATATATCAAACATTGATGTGGATTAAATGAGGCCTCTTCATTTTTAGTGTGCAATATCCATACACTTATATTATCCTCATTCATTAAGCTGAAATTATTATACTATAGAATATGGATCATCTCTTGTATTAGAGAGTTCAATACTAGTAAAAATAATGACATATATTTTTTAAAATTTCTAATGGAACATATTTTAAATTATTTTTAAATAAAATATTTATTTAATTTTCAAATTATTATAGATATCACAATTGAGTACTAATTTCTCAACCATACGCTATCTTATCATGTGAGCCACGGTCCAGCCCCACTTGTGCAAGTCCTCCACTCAGAATTGCACCATTTTTATAAAGAAGGAATCTCATTTGACACAGACAGACCAAACCATATTTGGTTTCTCTAAAAAAAAAAATCATATCTCCTAAAACAATCTTGTTTCTATGTATCCATCCAATATGATTACACCAAATAATATAAAATATTATTTTATATTTTTATAACTTTTTTTCTCTAATTAAATTGTACATTTTAGGAATATATAGAGAAACATAAGATCTTCATTCATCTCTACCATATACATTAAGAGTATATTTTTACGCTCTCAAAGTAAAGATTTAGTCAATATATTATATATTATTTATTTGTATTTTTTAAAAAGTTGATAATTGATATGGTGTATAAAACTTTTACATTGTTTTCCGATTTATATTTTCTCTCTCTCTTTTAAATTATTGAACTTTATTCCTGCGCATAAAAAGTATACACATGAAAGCTCAACTTAAATCACATTTTCTCTCACAACCTTTATAAAACAAATATAATAAATTAAAAAAAGAATTCAAATTTAAGCTTGTATCCCCTCTGGTATGCAATTGAAAGTTATCCCACAAATTTAACATAATATTAATATCTATAAAACCACTAAGATCCATATAATAATCTTAAGTATGAATATTTGGGTTTGGATTCAAACATGTGTCTTCATCCTTTATATCTAACATACTCCTTTAAAACAACTAGTGTCATTGGTTGTTAAAGTGGAGTAAAATGTTAATGTTTTTTTACCTTATTCATGCACACAATTGTCTTATCATATCAAAATTAAATTGTATTTGTTGTTGCATACTTCATTAAGAAAACTCTAAAATGTTGATTTTTTAAGCTTATTCACTCACATTCTCACATGTGTTTTCTCATATAAAAAATAAAATAAAATAATATTTATATATAACTTTTTAAGATGATAAAATAATATATATTGTATAACGCATTTTTCCTAACTTTAAAAAAAATGATATTTCCATTATATCATTTTCTTATTAAATAATTAATAAAATGAGAGAAATATACTTTTGAATGTCTTCCTTTTTTAAAAGGTAATCACATCCTAAAATGTGTGGGTTTTCCTTTGCCATAAAACTAGAGTTTATTGCCAAACTAGCAAGTGACCCGTGCATTTGCACGGGACGGTATTTTGTTGTTGTATGATTCATAACATACATTATATATGCATTCATATGGTTAAGAACACACGTTATTTGTATATTTGCATGGTTAAAACACACATATTACGTGTGCATTATGAAGACACATGTGACCAATGCATTCACATGGTTAAAAACACATGTTATCCCCTACATTCGCATTACTAAGAAAATACATGTTACTCATATACTTTTGTACTTTCTTGATTGATTTTCATTCTCTATAGTCTATATATTTTGCTAACTAATAAATATAATGAAAACTTATGTGATTCATTATTAATATAGACGTATATATGGAGAATTTGTTTAATTTTATGATTTATTGTGATAATTTCTTAATTTAACTTGTTTATAATTTATTTTACTTCCAAGATATTATTTCTTAGTAGTTGTTAGTATAATTGATTTATTATTTCATATTTTTTTAATAAGTAATTTAATAATTAATACTTTCGGATTTAATGATTTAGTATGTCAATTTCAAAAATAATATTTTAATAGATAGAAATAAAATTTAGTAATAAATGGTCATTGAAATAGAGAATTTGTAATTATATAGTTCGGTTTTTTTCTCTCAAAATAATGGAGGTCTAAATTATTTAGGATTAAAACTGTTAAAATATTTTAAAGATAGTAATGGAAATTAGAAAATTATAATTAATTTTTTAGATTTTTTTTAAAATAAAGCAGACATATTAATTTGCAAGTAGTGATTACTATACATTATTTTCCACATTTAATAACATTATCGATATCACTCATAAGCACCACATTAAATGACAATATGTGTTTCTATTCCCCTATGTTCACCAGTTTTATTTCTTTCCTAATGGTCGACGATATTTATTCAAAGTAATTATTAATTGTTAATTATTAGTTTGCAACTGATATGCGATATTTATTCAACGCTGTCGATATTTATTCACTTATTCGATTACAAATTACAATAGTATAACAAAATTTATTGTCATTATTCACCCATGCAGTTTCTATTCCCTTATGAATTTTCCTTTATTGTTATTTTTCCACTATGTATTTTTATATTTCATTGTTCACATTAATTACTCTTAAATCTCGAGAGTAATTCTCTCCAAAACTGTTATTATTCCATAATTATACACAATTTATATAAATGATCATTTTTAGTACTTGAAAAGTTTGTCTATATGTAAAAAGAAAAGAAAACAAAATGTTAAAATTTATGACCTTTTATTATCTTTAATTAATGTATACGATACATTTGAGATATAATTAAAAAAATTATGGTGTCATTTTTTAATAAATATATAACATATGTAATGATTAATAAATTCAATAAAAATATAAGATAAAAAAATTGTATTCATAGTATATTTTAATTTGATAACAATAAAGTTTTGTTTTTATCATAACATAGACTCAAATATAAAAGAATATATTAAGTTAATTTCCATGAAAAGTTGCACATCTCTTTTTAGAACAATGAAGAAACATTGTATTCTTGACATTTGAATTATTTAAAGACACATAATCAAATATCAAATATGAGGAGAAAACTTTAATGAAATAAACATATATAGATTGACAATGTTGAAGGAGAAATGAAGAAAAAAATTGGAGGGAAAATAATGATTGTGGTGATGACACATGTTATGGCTAATGTGAGAAGGACTTAGTTTTCTTCCACCAGAGAAACGTTGAAATAATTATTGCATTTCAATTTTGTCATCAAAGTCGTTGTAGTATAGTGGTAAGTATTCCCGCCTGTCACGCGGGTGACCCGGGTTCGATCCCCGGCAGCGGCGTATTTCTTTTTATTCTTCTCATATCTTTATTTTGGGTCATATTCTTCCTTGGGTTCAGATAGCGGCCCAATAGGGCCCAAAAAAGAAGTAAAATGTTGTGGATAAGAGGATTCGGCAAAAATAAAAACAAAACAATCATTGCTCATATTTATTACGTCATGCTTTTTACCAATTACCGTTCTTGATAGCAACATTGTCAAATTTTTCCACCATACACAAATTCAAACTTCACAATGTGAAAGCCAATGGCAAACACACTACTAGACACTGCATACTATTCACTGAGTGAGGAAGACATTGAAATGCAGGATGGTGTCTACTCCCTCTGTGGTGTGCTTGTCCTCTTGCAAAAGGGTATCAAGTGCAGCATATCCCCTTGCATTCTCATACTTACCGGTTCCACCAATGACCACAACCTCAGATTCATGTGATGCAGTTCTATGAACTCCAAACAAGCTCATGGTGTCTTCCACAACATGATCCTGATGATGTTCACCATCAGCACCATGCAGCAACACTATCAGAACAATGATTTGGCTAGTACCATCTAATGAGCTAGCCAAGTAGAACCCTTGTGCTCTTCCAATAACAGCAGAACCTAGCTCATGCCCTTCAGTTAACTGGTCATCAATCACTGTCACTGATCCAAACATGAGCTTTTGAAATGTAAACCCTGCTGGAAGGTTACCTGCTGATACAAATGGTTGGTTGTTGCCACCTGTGACAACATTGCTGGTGCCTCTATTTTGGAACACAGTGGAAGATTGAGAGCCACCAAGTCCTACAAGGTTTGGAAGGTTGTTGTTTGTGATGATGCCATTGAGCTTAGGGTTCACTAGTGGGATTCCTCCAGTGATTGGGAAGAGGTTGTTGTTAAGCTTGGAGAATGGTAGGCCTGTGACATCAGTGTTTGCTACTATTCCTGCCACTACTCTTGCTGATGGGTGAGACCCTCCAAGGATGTCATGCATGAAGAAGGACAGTGATGGCTCCTTTCCCACTACAACTGGTGTTTCATTAGTGGTAGTAGTGGTTGGGACTTCAGCTTCTGGTTGTGGCTGCTTTTCAACTTCAGAAGGTGCAGTGATACCAGCTGGGGCAATTGGTTCTGGTTCTGGTGGGTCAACAACATTGGCTTCTTCATCAATGGTGGAGTCAGTGTTGGTGTCTGTTGGTGTTTGGTCACTTGGCAAAGTTGATATAGGGGTTACCTGGGGTGTGGCAATAGGACCTGTTGTTGTGAGTGTTGGATTAGCTGATGCTACTGGTAGGGGTAGGTTATTGTCAATGACTTGTGGTTGTTGCTCCACTTCATCTAGGATTCTGGCAGAGTTGGCAATCAAGAAGGTATTGGTAAGGATGAAGAGGCAGATAGTGCCAGAATTGAGGAGAAAAACATTGGTCATTTTACACAGGAATCTGGTTTTTCTTTGTGTTAGAGAGGAAAAACATGTTAATTAATGATGATGCTGATTTCTGGTTGTGTATATATATGGTATATACAATTACAAACATAGGTGAGGGTCTCTAACCAATCCTCAAGAAGTGGAGCTGATACTAAGGAGTGGTTGACTGTTCTTTCCAATAGAATGTGCTTCTGTTGAAACAAATCCAAACTAGTATTGGCAGAACTATTATTTGATAGATGATCTTCAGAAAGGTGGGGTTCCCTATTTTTGTCTATTCCTGTTCTCTATCTAAACCATGGTTACCTAGTACTCTCTTTTATCCTACATATCATGTGCTGAATTCACCTTATCACGTACCAAATAAGGTCTGATAAAATTAATCTAAAAAGTGATGAACAATATATTAAAATAAATCATATATCCATATACTCGTATTGCATACCATGTAACTATGTTCTATAAGTTGTAAGTAATGTGATTAGTAAGACTGTGAGCTATGCTTAAAGATGCACTTATATATATCTGGCTACATTAACTATTCTAACATGTATGGCCTAAGTTAGCAATTTATGTTGTAATTAATCCAAATCAAATTTTATCACGATGCTGATAATTTTATCCACATCCCTGCACGCTTTGTCATATTACTGAGTTTTATTTTTACAATTTTTCTTGATAAAATAATGATATGTTTGATAGTTAAATACCCACTCCAAAATAAATGATAGTGTTGAAAATTTGGCCTTTCCCTTTCAGTAAAAGTAGATTCCGTTAAGCCAACAGTTTTTTCAAAATCTAACGCAACATTAGTGTACCTATCAAAGCAAGTTGATGAAGAAGAGGTAACTGTTATCTTGTATCATCAATCTTAGGATGAAAGATATGTTTGTGGAAAAATATCAAGTATTGGAAAACCATTCATAATTGGTGTCTTGTTATTGAATTTGTCATAACTGTCTTCTCAAACGGATGGTAATAGGATTGAAAATGAGATGATTGTTGGTAAGGGGTCAACATATTTTGTAATAACCAATGTGAAAGTGAAAGTGCTTAAAAACAAAAGAAAAAATAACGTGTGATATTTTTGTCTTTTAAATATAATATGATAATACTTTTAATCTTCAATATAAAATATATAGAAAATAATAACTTACCTCTTAGTCATTTGAGTCGATAACTAGACCTTATATTCCAATATTTAATAATTGCAAAAGCTGGTAGATTATTAAGTCTTGAAATGATTTGAGTTCTCCTACATACTTTTGATCCACTTGATGAGACTGTTCTATACTTCTATTGTTTAGGAGGATATTCACTGCTTAATTATGGTATGGTTTTTATCAAACATACATAAACTAATACAGTAACCATAAGTCCAAGAAGAAATGAAGCCAAAATAGAACCAAAGCAAGAGTAAGTTTATTAATTAACCTCAAAAGAGAGAAATTGAGCTGAAATTATATCTTCGGAACTTGTAGACTTAGCTGAATCCATAACACACTAGAGATCAAGTAACCACAACAATTTTCTAATAGCTCTCTATTCAAACCTTACCATATAATAATGCACATTGGCCTTTATGGCAACAAAAAAAACATGTAAAAAAATAAAAATCAAAGGGCTAGCAATTCTATTTAGAGTCTCTTACTATATCTTCATTTTGTTCTTTCTGCTCTCTCTCTATTCTTGTACTTCCATATTGAGATTTCTCCTCTAGCCACTTAATAATATCTGAGAATACAATTTTCAAATTTTCTGCTGGCTCTCCATACAATAGACCATGCCACATTCCAGGGTATAGCTTTATTGTCTTGTCTGAACTAGAGGCCACTTCATATAGTTCATTGCTAACTGATTTATCTGTCACTTTGTCTTCTTCACCATGTAGAACTAGAAATGGTAATGAAACCTAACCAAAGTACAAAAGGGTCACCATTTTTGCATTAAACTCATTGAGTGTCATCTACTTTAAGGGTTTAGCATTGAAGAGAATGTTAAAAATGTGACATACCTGGCTTAAGTTTTGCTCAATTTCTGTGCTAACCCTTAGAAGTTCAAAGGCTGTTTTCAAGCGTGGCTTTCCTTTGTAGCAATATGGGTTAGCTCTAATCTGCAATACATAAAGAATATATAATATTATCATCATCTATTACAAATTAGGTAAGAAAATATGCATAAACTTTAATAAATGAAGTGTAGGTTAGGTGTATATCTGTCACCATGTATTTTTTGAGTATGAAGTTAGAGTGATCTATAACTTAATCTAAATTATGAATGAATAGTTTTGGATTAAAAATTGTGTTAGGTACCTGTTTTCTGACTTCAGGGTCTTTAAAAGCAAGATCAATGATATCTTGTGTTGGGACTATTCTCCATTTAGGAGCCATTTTGCTGAGTGCACTCAATACACCAATCATCACTTGATTTGGTCTCATTTCATCTGCAATCTACACAATATTTCATTTATTATAATTACAATTTGACATTGCTTTTATGTGAATGCAAGAAAGTCAACAAATAGGAAGTGTAAGGTGTGGTTCAAAAGTAATCATTGATTATAAAAAAGTAGACTTTGATAAAGCTAATCAGATACCAAATGCACAAAAAAACATTAATCCATTAATCTATAATTTGGAGGTCACTTTCTTAAGGCAAGATATTCTACATGTGATGGGAGCAACTATGGCAACGGTTTAGATTATATGTCCCACAAAATAAAGGTAAGATTCCTTCTAGATATAATATATCAAGGATTAGTGATAGTCAAAATGTCAAATAATGATATTCAGGACTGGTTCATTGAATTATGTTGCTTCAACGAATCAACTGAAATATATTAATACATAAAATTATATCTTATTCCTATTTAAATTAAACTTGACCTAAGCTTACGTACAAAACAGTTTCTAATCATTGTACTATTTTATGTAATAATAATAACAATTAATTTTTAAAAGATTGTAGTAACTAAAAGCAAATTTTTTACATATAATTTCCTATTCTACATGGTAAAAGAAAATAGAGTAAAATTTTGGTGGAAACGATTTAAAAAAATGAGTTTTGATGCTCTATTACCAATACAATATATTAGAATAGACATTTTAGATTTCAGAATTAATATGATTAACAGATAAGCACAAAATTGAATTACTAGGAATAACGCTTCTCCTTTTTATAGGGCATGGATATTTTTTTGTTTGCATAAGAAGCAAGCACGTATTCTCTGAGAGACTGAAACCATAACAACTAAAATGAAAAATCTACGTCAACGTCCACATAATGTGATTAGATACCTTGGGAACTCTATTTCTTAATAAGCCAAACGTACCTAAAATCATTAGTGGAGATAAAATTACCTCAAAATTAAAAGAAAAATATAATTTTATACAATCTTTTTACCCTCAAATATAATTATATTATCTTTAATCTCCAGAGATGAATTTTATTCGCACCTAACATATTGGAATAAGCAAATAGTAAAAGGAAATGATGTTATTTTTTTTTGGAGAAAGTGTCGAGGTATGTGCATATTATTGATTTTATTTGAACAAGATCTTGGATTTGATTGTCTTCTTTTATATCTTGTAATTATT